TTTATGCATCTGATTGTGCTGAAGAAAGAGAAAATCTTACTGGTTGTGCAGTGCACTTTTAGAAACTGGATTCTACCTTTATGGTTTTATGTAATCACTGCACTTTTTAAGCTTCTGTTGGCTATTTGATGGCTAAGTTTGAATATGAAGCAATTAGGAATATCTCTAGCCATCTTCTTTATCTAAGTTGATTGTTATGATATTGAGTGGGTTATATTTAATTTCTTACGTGTGGGTGCCTCAACTTTCTCTGCTTGACACATTCTTTCAAATTCATTATTCTTTATATTAAATGCTATATTACAATTTCTAAGCGTATTTATTGGCTGAGGGGAGGTATGTGAAAAGTAGAAGCTTTGCAATGAATCAGAAAAACTTCTGTGAATGTTGCATTTTGTTCCCTACCAAGGTTTTGCTTGATGCTAGAAGAAGGTCAGTCATTGCCTTCATCATGTAACAGCGGCATGTATTTTCTTACTTCAACCTCTATGAGAAGGAGACTTGGTGGAGAGCCACTGTATGAAAGAAAGGAATATTTGATTGTTTCGTAAGAAGTTAATTCAGCTCACATACACTGTCTGAAAGAGGCCTATACACCGATGTTTCACATATTCCACAGTATATTTCTATGCCCACCACTTCTTTTAGTGTAGAATACCATGCACATAAAATATTTAATTTTGGGGTACATTGCTGCAAACAGAACATCTGTGACAATGCTTGCTTTTTGCATTGCGCTTTCTCATGTTAAAGAAGGACCTAGTTATTAAAATAAAAATTTCAGAGCTTTGATGAGTTTTCTTCTCCTTTTATGGTTTTTTTCTGATTTTATCCTAGTACTGAAGTATTATTTTGTCCAAGAAATGGAGCAAATAGAGCTACTCTTAATTAAAAATTTCTGTGCAGCTTAAAGCCTTAGGTCATTTCTTTTGAGGGAAAGAAGGGAGGAGAATCACACATTTTAGTGTGCAGTTGACACTGGGCTTCTGTATCACTGCGAAACAGGCCGAGTTTCCAAAGAGCAAGGAGACCAAGCTGTCCTTACAAAAAGGCCCTGACTGATGTATGAGCAATTAGCCCCCAAAACCATGATGATATTGTTTCAGTTTTTGGAGCTTTTTGTTTTTAACTGAAGATGGTAATTTTAATGAACACTATACATGTTTTGGAAATATGTGTTAAGTACCTAGGTTCATATTTGTGTATATATATATATATATATATATATATATATATATTTACAAATATTGAAACCCACATCCCTAAACTAATAGGCAGATTTTTATAATTACAAATATGCAAACAGTGTCATCACTGTCAGAACTGCAGTATATATTTCTCATGGTTGTGATGCTTCTTAGGGATTTGCAGACCTAAAAATAGTATATATTAAGTGAGGCTTTTCTTAAGAAATCTCTGGAGTTACTTAACAACTGTCAAAAATGTTTTAATTCTAGTTGTTCAGATGGGATAGGTGGTATTATCAGTGTAATTCTTAAAATATTGCTAAAAAGATAGAACACTGAAAAAATCTGAAGTTATGCATTCTGTAGACTTTTCAGTCTGAACCAATAAAGCAACTTATTTGAGGCATGACTATGAGATTTTTTAAAAGTTTATTAACATTTGTGTGACTGAAATGTTACTAGTTCCTAATATTTTTCTGAGGTAGATGTGTAATGTAGAAAATCAGCAATGTACAGTGAAAAATACTGATGTGCACTCTTAAAGCGTAACCATGTTATGTTTTGAATACAGAAAACTAATAATTATCATCTCTCAGGTGCTATTTTGCTCATGTTCATGCATGTTTCTATCTCTGTGAGAACATGCAGTCTCACTGAACTGTTGAGGCTCCTGAACTGAGTATAGTGACTTATTTGCAAGACTGGTGCATGCCTAGAAGTGGTAGAAGCATATTTTGGATATTCTTAAAGTAGGCTTATGATGTTTATGTTCTATGTACCAGTAACACTATGTAACAGAGCAGTCTGCTGATCCCATTTTAATACTGTGTGTTATAAATCACTCTTGGGTAGTCTGAGGAACAGTAATGACTTTTATTGTAGAAAACTGTATTTGCTGTATGTGGTTATATTGTTGTAGCTATCTGACTTATAGGGTGTTCTGCCTTCAGAGGTAGTGATTCAATTTTCTTTGGATGTTTCTTTTATTTTGTGTAAAGTCCAATGGCCTGGATTTTTCGTCAAAAAAAATTAATTGCTGTCAAGTAGAAGACCCAGGCAGAAGAGTTTACTTCCTTGATCCAACATAGGCTTTATTTTGTCACCAGATCAAACGGCTTTCAGAGTTGGAAGTGAAGATATTTCCAAGGTGACAAAGAATTTTAAACATGTAGTTACCATGGTAGGCAGTATAGGAAAGTTTAGTCCTGTATTCTTTGTGCACTAGTGTCTGACCTTCACAATGTTCTTCAACCAAAGTCCCACTCACCTGCAGCTCAAGGCAAAGGCTGGTAGTGTTGTATGCTCCCCTGAAGGGAGGCTGGAGCTAAAATAAATAGGGAAGTTCAGGCACAACAGAACACAGCATTCACTACCTGATCCTCGGCTGGTAGCGTGAAACAGTAAAAGCCTCAGGTTTGTGCTACTGTCAGCATCACTGAGTAGGTTGCCTTACTCAAGATATTAATTTTGTTTATCCAAGTAATTTCTTTTTTAGTTAGCAGTGTAGGTGTCTTCCAACACTCATTTGTCCTTCTACCTCCCACATCAGTACTATAGTAAGGTACTTTGTTTATTTTTTAACCTTTATAAAATCCATATATGTCTATCTGTCCTGGAAGTCAAACTATATTTTAGCCCCATGCTTACATTATCTTTGCCTACGTTATTTTCAGTTGTTTGGTGATCTGGCCAATGTGGTTTTGGAAAGTAATAGGATACTCAACATTTTTTCCATTTAGCTGCTACTCCAGTGTTGCACACCTTCCCTTTGCATTACACTTTGGCATCTGATCAATGCAAAGATAACATTTAGGATTTTATTATTTGTAGTGGCTGTCAAAAATCTTAGTTTCTGAATTCTCCCATCTGGCACTTTGATTTATTTCAACAATTTTGTATGGCTTTTAACTTTGGTGCAATATGGATTTATGTGTCTAGTCTTCGTATCTGTGTAATTTTCTAGTGCAAGGATTTCTTTCATATTGTTCCAAAGTGGTCAATTCTGTTTATTTATTTCTGTATTTTATATCTGTAATGCACTCTGATATTGGAAGAATCCTTTCTAAATCATCAGTACACTAACCATTTGGTGTTTCTGAACAATCATGTCAGCATTAAAAACAGCTCTCCATAACATTTCTATCCAGTACTAAAATCATATTTTCATCCCAATAATAATAGTATAGCAGTGGGACACATAACAAACTGACATTAGAGATTTCATGCTGACAGTAGGAGAATGAGAGATTGTTCCCAGCCTTGGGTTTTAGTCCAGTAAAAAAAGAAGGAGTAAAATAGCTTGGAAGGTTGAGTACTTAATAATTAAAGTATTAGTAAACAACATACCTGGATTTCTGAAAAGAATGAAAATAAATGTGTGTACTTGCACAAACACACATTTAAAGTCACTTTCTTTCTAGCTCTTCTATTTACTCTCTTCTTTCAATCTCCTTCATCCTTTTTCATATAATATATGAAGGCTTTTTGGTGATAACTGCCAGCATTCCATTCCCAAACTCCACAACTTCACTGTCAGTATCTTCAGCAGATTAGACTAATCTTGAAACTGGATGCATTGCTTTTTAAAACAGTGCTTTTTACTCTTTTCCAAAAGAGAATGTGCATTTTTGTTGTCGTCGTTATTTTAGTAACCTTAAGATCTCTAAATTTATTTTGGAAATAATTAATCTTATTTTCTTTGAACTATATAATGCATTTGGACATTTTATCCTGAGTATCACATGGGTGCTAGTATTTTCAAAGTAATAAGATGCATAGGATCCACAGGTCCTTCTCCCACAAGCTGATTTTATGTCATCTTCCTTGAACTGGTAAATAGTAGTGATAAGTAGTAAGTAATGATCTGATTCTTTTCCTTGATGCCTGTTATTGGATAGAGGCAAGGTCTTAGATATTCTGCAAAAAAGAGACAGCACAAAGCCTGTGCCTTTCTAAAATCCCGCAGAAGCTCTTAAGTTATATCTTGGATGTTGTATAGACCCATCATGGTCATCAGTTTACAAATGGATTTTGGTTTATGTGATTTAAGACTGCAAGAATGTTGTTTATAACCGCATCCATTATGTATGAGAATAACCAAAAAATGCACTGGGCCAAATGCAGAAGTTGCTTTTGGGGGAAGAAGTGACACTTGAGGATAACTGACATTTTAAAATGGGCTTGAGATTTGACTGGGTCTGCAGCTAATGATTGTTACTGCCTTTATAAAGGCTTGACTTCCAGCTCTTTTTTAGTGTAGAATATTTTTTAAAAAATTCCTTTGAGCATCTCCTTCCTTTACCTCACTTTTATTATTCATATTAAGTGACCTTGGTGCTTTCCAAGTGACAGGTGTGTATGGTGAAGCTCCATGCATTTCTCTTGCTGTGTCATCCTAATCAGCTCGAGCAGAGGTTTGACTTTCACTCTCTTTTGTGACAAAGTTACAACAGACTGAAGGTCAGCTAACACACACTAGCTAATCCTTATCCAGCCTTGCTTTCTCATTCTAAATTGGATAAAAACCAGGGGACCAAATTATTCAGTTTTACTCAAGACAAAATCCCAGTGAGGCCAACTAAGCCTTGAGTGAGTGTGGGAGGTTGTGGCACTTTGCTTCTGAGTTACATCTGTTTTATAAAGGTGATTCACTAATGAGGGGAAAAGAAATTCAAGGCACAGCTGTTTATTTACCTGAGCCTTGATGCAGCCTCTGTGTTCCTCATATTTTGCTGTTTCTGTCAGGTCTGTGGGCTTGTTTTGCTGAAATTAATTTTTTTTTTCCTTTCTCTTTTTTTTTTTTTTTTCCCCTAGACTGGCAGATAGCTACTCTGGCTTTGCTGCTGGGTGGTGCTGCCATTATTCTCATAGCTTTCCTGGTTGGGTTGATCTCGATCTGCGTGGGCTCTCGGAGGCGGTTCTACAGACCGGTTGCAGTCATGCTCTTTGCTGCAGGTGAGCACTGGCACCACCAAAATGGTTTCATGAGAGCAGCTTCTCTTTTGTGAAGAAAACATGCCTTGTTCTGCATACTGATTCAGAGATGTTTGGTTTAATTCTGTGTTAACTCTGGTGAGATTTTGCAGGATATAGGTTCTCCAGAGCATAAATCACCTTTGCAGTTGCACTATTATTTAGTTCATAAACAATTATTTATTTGCATTGTATTGTATTGTGAATTTCATGCAGCGGGGGAAACTACAGAGGATAAATCTCAAAATACCCTTTTTAATCTGTGACTTTGTTCTGTTTGGTGTCCCCGTTTTTATTCTTCATGCAAAGCCACTTTTATCCTAATGTTTTTCCTTTTACAATTTTAAAATAGGCAAATTAATGCCCAAAGATGAACCCTGGAAGCTCTAAATAGGATTATCTTGCAAGGTGTTTATATATGCCCCTGTGCCATAAGGAATTAATTTCATAGTGTCATCTTGCTTACTTAGTGATTAATTTAACAAGCTGTCACAGTGTAGTCCCTGCTTGGTTTAAAAAACATGAAAATGGAACAGTTTATATAAACTATCACAAAATCTTAAGGGAGACCTGTGAATCTGAATTTTCTGTAAGACTGGTCCAGTGAGGTATAATTACAATATCAAATCATCTCCTTTTATACATTTTGGTGTTCTGGGGCTTCATCAGCAAGAATGTCTCAGATTCTCCTGAGATTCACCAAGCATGGTCTGCCTTCATCCTGTCACTCATATCTGCACTGGAGCCAGCAGCTTAAGCCCCTTCTGATAGCCCATAATGAAGAGGATGACAGAACCTAGTCTTGGGGATGTATTAAAAAAAGCCACTTACAAGGATATGAAAGGATAAGAGCACAGAACCTCAGGGTGTTTGGGATGAAGCAGAGCTCCGGGGAAGGCTCCTGCTGCCCCCTGGTGTTAACCTTACCTTGATGGAGCCGCTGAATCCTTCAAGATGCACTTCAGTGTGCTGAAGAGATATTTGTAGATTACGTTTCCTTTTCGGAAATGAAAGCAACCTTGGATTAGATTCCCTCGATGGAAGTGGTCTGACTCTGTTCTATGTGTCACATTGGTTTGGTTGAATGAGTAAAGTACTGGTACCATTGTTTTAAAATTTAGTGCTAATTCTGAGATTTTAAAGCATGCTGGGCAGTTAACCTTGAAGGAAATGGGATTATTCAGTTTCTGTAGTGGTTTCATATTTGGCTTTTGACTTTATTTCTCATAACATTGTGTAGTAACTTGGTAATTGTTCAGCCATACACTGCCTATCCTCCAACTTGCTCATTTGGTATGTAGTTAAGTTTGTACTAAGAAAAAGAAACAACTTTCCCTAAAAAAAGATTTCCCCAAATTCTACTGTTTGTCTTAAAGTTTAATCTGTTCTCCTCTGCATAAAATTAGTTCTAGTCTTTACTACAAAAGGTTGGTGGTAGGGGGGGTTTAGTGGTTAGTTCCATCTAAGAGGAAAATGTATTGGTCGTTTAGCCCAAATATTCTATATGACTCTGGTTAGGAGTCTACCAACTGCCTCTGGAAAAATGACATAGTATGAATTGCCCAGAGACATTGAATGATCTGTGTGGGTGTCAGGTAGAAAATGTCTCTGAGTGGAAGAAAGGACAAAATGGAAAAGTGTGCTTTAGAGTCCAAACAGTTGGCTCTGGGATATTTTTTTCGTTCAAGGTTTGATTTTTTTTTTCCCCTCAGTTTCAGATTTCAGTTAGCAACTCTGTAGGTGAGGGAGAAGGTTGACTGACTAGAACTGGAAGAGATGAGAAAGCAAATGGACAAAAAAGAATTCAACCTAGACACTGAGGAATAAGCCAGCAAGTAATGAACAGTTGTGAATGCATTTTCACAGAACTGGCAGTATGTATTTTAATGGTGTGTGGAACAGGAACACCTCAGGTATTGAAAAAATGTGGCATACACAGAGAGACAGTTGCAGGACGTTCTGGAGCCACCTTGGCTCAGACAGCTCTTTGGTCTAGTAGAAGTCACTAGCTTATGTACTTGCTGGGATATCTTAGTGCTCATGAACCAGACTGGCTCTGAAAACTGCATCCTCAAAGCACCATCTCACAAACATGTCAGTATAGGAGTTTCATGACCAGATAACTAAGCGCTAACCAAGTCTTAATTTTGGGTCAGAAAGAGAAAGTCTACCTGTTGCAAGTCCATAACAGAAAAAAAAAAGTTTGCCTTCTGTCGCTTAACAAATGTAGCAGTGTTTGGGAGAATAACCTGTTGAGGTTAGTAAGCTTTTAACACATTTCACAAGATGGTTTTATGTGCAAGCTAGGGAAACAGTGGCTAAGGGAAAGTATTACAGGTGACAGAGTAATAAAAAATGGTGGCAGATAATATTTGGAGAATATTTAGAGGATATAGTTTTTAATTCTGACAGAGAGTCACAGCACAGTCCAGCTGGATTGAATCCTGAGTTCTGTGGTATTACCTATTGTCATAATGATGTGGAAGATAGAATAAAAGTTTATTTTTTCAAATTTTACAGTGAAGCTAGAAAAAGTTGCAGATACATTTGAAGACAGAATTTGATTTTGAGAAGTTGATCAAATGGTCTGAAAGAGCAGGACTGACTTAAGTAGGATATAGTGCAAGTTGCTACAGGGCAGCAAAAAGAGTCATAGTATCAAAGAACACTATTATGAAAAATACTCTGTAGGTCATGTAGTCCAATCTCCTTGTTGAGGTACAACAGTCACTAACAGCGACAGAATTGTCTGGACCAGTTTTGAAAAAATTCAAGCATGAAGATTCCACAGCCTTTCCAAGCATGTTCTCCTTGGCCAATACTATCCTCCTTATGAGTTTTTTTTTTTTTTTTGACTGATGTCCATCCAGAATCTCTGAAACAGATTTGTGTCCATTTTCATTATTGCCAGGTTGCCTGATACTAAAGAAGACAGATTTTTTTCTGTCACTGTTGCAGCTACATTTTCTGGTAATCTTTGAAAGTGCAACACCTATTAGTTATTAAAGAATTAAATTTCACATTTACTCATGTGAAATTATCAGGAGGAATGGGAGGAATGGTGTAGAGAACAGAAGTACAGAACTTACTAGCCAGAACCACCACTTTCATAATTACAGATCAATTAGAAAACCGCACCGTAAGAGTGTGTGTGTGGGGGGGGATTGATATCAAAAGTGTTATAGTCAAGCATTTGAACAAGGAAAAAAAAGATGACTGAAATTATATTTTCCTAGTTTTAAAGCATTTGTTATGACTTCTGCATGTTTAGTGCAGTGAGAACATATAATTGCTTATATTTCATGTAAATGGAATAAAACTAATATTCCTGTTCCCATATTGCAAGCATCATAGTGCTAGTCATAAAAATGGGTCTACATTTGAAGTGAACAATCCAGTTTGAGATGATTAACCTTTCTCGAATAGCATTTGAGTAGCAGATTTTTTAAGATTTCCTTTGCAGCCCATTGTTTCTACGGAAAAAGGCTAGTGCTTCTGAAGAGAGTTGGTACATGCTTCCCTAAAGCAGGCCAACATAACATGGGGTTCCTTTAAATTCGTTAGAAGCAGGTCAGTAGTTGCAGGCGTGGGTTTCAACATCTTTTTGGGTCATACTGGTCATTTCTCATAACTTCACTACCTCTTGTTTCTCGCTTACACAGCTCCCTTCCTCCTCTACAGGGAAAAACAATGACAGAAGGCAAAATTAGTGCAAAGTGATGACAGTGCTCTGTAGTGTGGCTGTTCCCACCAGCCAATTGCTGCCAGCACTTCCTTTGAGTTTTTCAGTGGTGTAGCTGGACCAGTAGTAGCAAAAGCAGGAACTATAAAAATGTCAAAAACCCCTTTTGTGAGTGTTGCTGCTTTAGCAGCATGTTCCTCTCTTCCAAGAGAATCACTTTTTTGTTGTGTTTTGACTAGTCCAATCTGTAGATTGAAGTTAAGCATACTTCATATGTTACACTGGGGAAGGTGGAGAGTTGCCTTGGTTTGCACTTAACACAGACACAGACGGAGCAGTTTCTGTATTGACTCAGCAGAGATGCTGCATCCCAGTTCAGGAAGTCACTAAAAAAAGTTGTTTGTTTCCATACATCTTTGGAAATCCTTTTTTGACTTTGAATGGTCTTAAAGATGTGTTGAAAGCTGAGCATATGTTGAGGTGCTTTTGGGTATAGTGATACTGTCATTATACAGAATTGGAATGCATAATCTTTTCATACGAGTAGGTGCTTTCTCTAGTGTATCCTGCCAAAGTTTCTCCAGTGTTGCGCAGTATTTTGTTAGCTGACAGACAAAAAAAAATATATTAAAATGGAATAACATAAAGTAACACTTCAATAACTGTAGAATTAAAAAAAAATCCTGTGGCTTTTGGTATGCCCATCAGAAAATCCACTAAGCAAACATTATTCAGGTTGTCAGTCTCGAGTAAGAGTCCAAAGATTAGTCTGTAGGCTGAGGCAGGGAGAGCTGGAATTTCCAATGAGTGTTTTATAAAGTGTTATAGAGGGTCTAATGAACATGGGAGATCATCTCCCCATACGAGTCCTGTCCACAGGACAGGTGAGCTTCAGTCTCCAGGGCTAATGAAAGGGACCAGTTTGACAACACTGAAGATGCATGTGGGAGTGAGAAGGCAAATGAGAGATTTTGAGTGTGCAAGGTGTTCAAGGAGTGGGAGAATATAATAACTGCTTTTTTATTTTCCTGTAATTTCTCAGTGTAATTTCAGAATAGCTTCTGTGGTCCAAAGTAGTCTTCCTCCCTTTTATCCACTGGCATTTTATATTGATACTGGCTTTGTAACACTTCTCAAATTGCATCTGTTCCTCTTACAACACCTAATAAACTGTAAAAAATGATCCAGGAAATGTTAAAGAAAGTAGTCATTATGAACTTTGTCATCAGAGTATGTGTCAGGCCTGCAAATACTTTAAGCACATGCTTAGTTGTGTGTGTATTCCCGGCCTGGCTGTAGACAGGGCCTGGGGTGTTTTACAGGGATGGTTGTATGCTGAAGTCTTTAAAATTGCGACTGTTAAATGATGGAAGGGAGCACTGCAATGGGACATATCATGTATTTGAGGGGTAAAAGGGATGATTCCTGTGATGTTTGATCTTTTGTGGGTGGCAGAACAAGAGGCCTGAAGAATCACTACATCATACAGCTTGTTCTTGTCTTCAGAACAAGTGTGACTTTCACCTGCTCACCTTGTAAACTGTTGTCCCAACTCACTGTTAACAGTGAGTCTGAATTTAAAAGAGAATGGATGCCCATGAAAATGAGATAATCTTGTGAAAATCGAGGTTCTTCATCTTTGTATTTTCAAGTTACTGTATATGGTTTTTTTTAATGTAGCACAATAATTAACAGCTTTGCTGAATTCCCCTGAAAACGTGTGGATTGGCCTGCAGCAGATCTGGCCTCTGAGACAGTGCTGTAGGAAGTAATGATTTTGAAGGGTTTTTATTGCCTTGGATTTTATCTATTTTATTAGCTTTTTTTCATCACAAAACATTTCTGACCCACCCCCTAAATCTGTAAGATAAGGCAGTGTTTTGCCAGTTTGAAGTTTTGTGACTGATCAAACTTTATAGATTCCTTGGTATTCTGTGTGACAACGTCCTTAATTCTGATTATACTATACAGTAATGCATATGAAATATGTAATTCAGTGAATGTCTACTGAGCATAAATATGTATCACCTACTACAGTGAATTATTTCTAGGCTAAGTAAATTATTTGATTCTCAGCTATATTTCTTAATATTCGTTTATTCTTGTGTCTCGTTTTGACTTATTTATAATGGCAATAGAACAAGTTTTGCTATTATGGAAAGAATAATGACTGCAAACTAAAACAGAGAGACAGAAAGGAATACAGAAAATATTCCTTTTGCTGTTTATTTTGTGGACATTTGAAGGATTGTCATTATACCATAGCAGTAACATTTGTTCATCAACGAGGGAATATGGAAGAGCTGCTGTGTTGCCTGTGAGTGAAAGGAAGGTAATTCAAAAAGAACAGTACTTCCAAGCTAAAAACTCCCCAGGAGCATTTTATATGTAAATTTCAGATATGTGATGTTTTCCTTGTTTTAGGGAAACAAATTAAATCTTCTTTTGACATTTGTATTATTTTTTCTCTTCCAGTTGTTCTCCAGGTCTGCAGCTTAGTCCTTTACCCGATCAAGTTCATCGAAACGGTCAGCTTGAAAATATACCATGAGTTCAACTGGGGCTATGGCCTGGCATGGGGTGCAACTATATTTTCATTTGGGGGTGCCATTCTTTATTGCCTGAACCCTAAGAACTATGAAGACTATTACTAGAATCATTTAATGAGAAGAAAAGTAAAAAAAAAAAAAAAAAAAAAGGATTACCCCATCTTTTCTAGCTCACAGTTTTTTTAGAACACTCGTGGAGCACCAAACAGTCTGCTCTGTTGATAAAATAACCTTTGCCTTTTGGGTGTGAACACTGTAACCAGCTTTTACAACCATTTAAAAGAACTGCAAACACTAGGATTACTGATCTTACACAGGCAGATGCTGCGAGCTGCTGATACGTAAGCTTCATTTTTCCTGACAACGAGCAAAAGGATCTACGTGACACAGCGATCGTTGTGAGAAAACTAGTTGGAATGAGAATGCAATGCCAGCATCTGCCATTGCCTTCAGGGGAGCAGCTGGTATAGGCTCCATTTAGAAGTTTCCCTGTATCATAGAGGATTCAGAGGTCTGATAAGCAGGCAGTGGCATCTTGTACAATAGGCTGTGTTGGCCCCTTGTTACTTGCTCAAAAACACTCTTAAGAAATTAGTTTGCAAGTGACTGTGTTGAGGGAAGTGAATGTAACTGGTTAATGACTTGTCTAATATCTGCATTCAACAGTCTTCTGGGAGAATAATAAAAAAAAAAGGAAAACCCAAACAAGCCACCAACCCGCACAGGATTTCATGAATTCGACATCACCGTGCCAGCTGTAGCAGATTGTTGAAGGAAGTCCAAACCAGACTTCTGACTGTGTAGTTGGAAGTTGTCTCAGCTCTTGAGTATTTTGCTGGAAGGGTGGAGGTAAGGGGGAGTAGGAAAACACCTGGTCTGTCCCTCAGGCATCTGAAAGGTATGAATGAATTGCAGTTGCCGTAAGCAGCCATTTAACTTCCAAACATTGTCATGAAAAGAATGCATATGGAACAAGTTCAGTTATATTTTTGAAAGGTATTTGTTAGTATAAATGAATATATATAATGCAGATATTTATGCAGAGGGAGAGAGACAATTTGTCTTAAAATTATAATATGAACTGTGATGCAGTGGTTAAAATACTAACGTTGTACACATTCTTGAAAGTCTTGGATTGGTACCCCCAATTTTGGTTGGTGTTACAAAATAAACATAAAATGGTTTGTCTTCTGTATATGCCCTTGTACAGACTCTGTGTTATGGGAAATGCTTAAAAGTTCACATCAAGTTAAGGTAGAACTGGAAAAAAACCTACTTGCTATTCCATGTGTAATTTAATACTTACTAAAAATTCTTTTCTAAGCCTGTTGCAAATTAAAAAACTGCCATTTTTTAAAAGTCTAGTTAGGTTCTGAATGTCTCTGATCATCAAGAATACAGCCGAGAATCCATCATGTCCATATGAAAACATTAGCACTTCAGGAGGTAATCTCTTGTTTTTAAAAGCTGAATTTATAATGGACTGTCTGATGATTATGTACATCCGATTATTCCTTGCTTAGTATGTTTCCCACTTAAAACATCCAGAGACTGTACTCATGAAATGAAATGGAAGATAAAGTTGGGAGAACTTTCACATATATTTAATCTGCATCACTTTTATTTTTGTTTACAATTTGCTTATTTGGATATTTTCAATTAATTATGAGCATATTTTTATACAATTGTAATCTTCAGAAATAACTATTTTTTTTAATGGAGAAAATTAAAATATATTCTATGTGGACCTCTGCACAAGCAGATATGCTGGGGCTGCACATCCACCTCTGCACAAATGGTTTTGCTGGTTCCATGGAAAAGACTCCTGGATTCCTGGATGTTAAGATCGCATCAATAGTGTTCGTGCTGTGCCACCATTCACAGGGCGCTGAGGTTCTGCAGTGACTGTGGGACCACAGGGCTGCCTTTAGGAGGTGTTGTGTGAGTATTGCTGATGTATGAAGGTTTATAAAACTCTGGGGCTCTCTGGAGTTCGGTCTTTTACTACTGTGGCAGCATATTCCATATCGGCAGTCTTTGCAGGACCAGTGGTGATTAATTAGATTAGATGGAGCAAAATGATAGCTTGACATGGAAGGGATTGTGTGGCAATGCCTGGAGAACAAAAAGGATGGGAGGAAAAATTATGTCCAGTTGTTTCACAGGCACCAGAGAGCATTTGTAACTCTGCTTTTTTTCCTGAGACTGACTTAAGGCAGATATTCAGTATGTAGTTAACTCTGTATCTTTCTGAACAGCTGTGTAGTTCTGCTTTTATTTAGCAGCATGGAGAACATTGTAGTTTGGCATGGGAATTAGGTTAGCGTAGAGAAGCCCACTGAGAGAAGACGTCTGTACCTTTCTAAGAGGTTGGTGTTTTGGTGCTGATAGTGAGTGGCACTTGGTCTGTGCTGACAAGAAGGTACAATGCTGAACCCATATCTTTTCCACTAATTTATCAAATTATTTTTCTGTATGTAGAGTTTGAGTGAAAGCAACTGTCAGGCCTAAGGCAAATGCAAATGAACGGCATGTGCTCTGCAAGTCACCAGCTGTTAATGTGAAAGGTGTTCAGGCAAAACAATTAATGCCTAAAGACAAAGTTCTTTATTCTTATTTGAGTCAGAAGTTTGATTTTCAGTTTCAACATGTGCTTTTCCTCTTGAAGATGATGCAATCTGTCAGGACACACCTCTCAGACTCCTCAGGCCCTTTGTGTTTGGGCATCTAGTAAGTAGACAGGCTTTAAAGTTCTTTAAAGGCAACATCCACATTGCTTCCCAAACCCTTGCTCATTATGGGGGAGTTCTTCCTGCTTCACTGCTGCTGTCCTCAGAAGGATGTAGCCCATCTGAGGAATCAGCTTCATCAAAGGAAAAATTTTTATTTCTTTTTTTTTTTTCCCCTGTACTCACCGTTGGTGAGGCGACACCTGGAGTACTGTGTCCAGTTCTGGGTCCCTCAGTTCAGGAAGGACATTGAGGTCTTGGAGCAGGTCCAGAGGAGGGCAGCTAGGCTGGTGAAGGGACTCAAGCACAAGTCCTATGAGGAGAGGCTGAGGGAGCTGGGGCTGTTCAACCTGGAGAAGAGGAGGCTCAGGGGAGACCTCATCACTCTCTACAACTACCTGAAAGGAGGTTGTAGCCAGGTGGGGGTTGGTCTCTTTTTCCCAGGCAACTGTCAGCAAGATAAGAGGGCATGGTCTCAAGTTGTGCCAGGGGAGGTTTAGGTTAGATACTAGAAAGAATTTCTTTACAGAGGGGGTGATCAGACATTGGAATGGGCTGCCCAGGGAAGTGGTGGATTCTCCATCCCTGGAGATTTTTAAAAAGAGACTGGATGTGGCACTTAGTGCCATGGTCTAGTAACCACAGCAGTGTTGGATCAAGGGTTGGACTTGATGATCTCAGAGGTCCCTTCCAACCCAGCTGATTCTATGATCTATGATTCTATGACATAAGTACCTACCTTTAGCTTAGGTTGCTGCTGCAGTGTCTTTATTTCCCCTTTACCATTGCAAATTTCGCCAAGCATTCTGTTTCTCAGCACTGAACTAAAAGCAAATACAACTTTATGCTGATTTTTTTTTTAGCCACAAAAATGATGCATATCTGTGTCTTGAGTGTACGTATGACAAATTAATAATTTTGTATGTTGTGCTTGTGTCATGTCACCATTATTTCAGTTGTTGGACTTGATCTCACTGGCAAAATGATTCTCTCCCACAACAAATCCATTTTTTTTCTTCCAAATATATATGAATAAATATATATATAGCAAACTTGCAAGCAGGGCTAGTTATTTGTATTTTTTAAGCTTAAAGTATACCGTCCGGTGCTGACAAATACCTGGCACCTCTTCTGGATTTCTTGCACAACTTCATTTAGCTTTTGTAAATTTTAAAAACAAATATAGAGAGACCTATGTGTTTGAAATATAAATGATATATATGGATTAGCATGTAACTGTATATTATTAAACATGCAATGAACTGACTGGCAAGTGAAGTCTAATCTTATGGCTAGCAATGTAATTTATTCAGACTGTATTTTTGTACAGCGCAGTGCACACTAACCTGTTGCCTCTGTGTCCTCTATAATGCCTAAAACTGTGCCTAGAAATGTCATTTATGTCTTTCAAGGAAAAAGAAAATTACTAAATGCTTCATGTTGTTGATAGTATTGGTTTTTCTGATGTTGTTCTTTATTTATTTTTGAGAAGTGTATGGTATGTTTATTAAATGAATCCATCACAATATGGTTCGTTTTAAATGGTCATTGTTAGCAGGGAAAGATGGATTTTTTTTATCTGAACTTTTAAGTTTGCAGTTTTATTACCATTTCTGCATTTCACGATTTTTGTAGCTTACATAAAGTTTTATGTGAAAAAGTAACTGAAATAAAAAAAAATTGTTACACTAACAAAATGTGCCTGTTTTGCTCTGAGTAGAAGATACATGCAGCTGAAACGGTGTGGTTTCCTGTTGGGCAGGCTGAGAAGGAACAGTCTTCTTAAGCTGATGAATATGCCTGGTATTCAGTTTTTCCATGCTAAAGGAGTCTTATCAAAATACGCAGCGGGGAGAGAGGGAGAGATGGAGGGGTTTCATTGGCAATATCCTGCATCTCACCTGGCCATGCAGCGGTAGCACAGGGCAGGTTTCTGGGTGTCACAGAGCCCATACTGCCTTTATAAAAATGTGAGTATTGTAACATCAGAAACCCATAATGTTTTTAATGTAAAAACCAAGACTATGTGTTGAAATGGGCCTCTATAGTGAGCACCTTGTTCCAGTGGGGGAGTGTATTAATTTTATACAGGTTTCTTTTTCACATTTCCAAAAATTAATACTTTTTTTTCTATTTTGATTCTGAAACCTGAGTTACTTTTCATCCTGAAAAAGCAAAAAAAACCCAGGTGCTGTTTTTGAATCTGAAATGTGGTGTTTCAAAAATGGAGAAGCATGTTTAAAATACTAAAGACTGTGTTTTTTCTACTATTGGGTAATGCGCTGTCATCCCCTGCATGGCTGGATACCTCTCAAGTAGGCAGACAGCAGCCTGAGGCTGCCAGCAGAAAGCAATAGGAGAAGGGGAGGTAAAATCCTTGTTTGGCTTCATTGGACTATTGCAGTTAGCAAGTGCTGAGCAAATACAGGCACAAGGGTGGGGTACACAGAGTGGAAATCAAGTGATGGAAAAGGAATTCAGAGCAGGAAGCAAGCATGATGGGCGTGGACAAGGATGGGAGGTGTCTGAAACTTTGTTTTCTTTTGAAATGTAAGTGAACTGAGGGAGGATGTTCATAAGGAACTATGAATCCACAGTCACTGGGAGTGAGGGAGCGAGCTGGAGGTGATGGGAAGCTTATTTCTTGACATTTGCATTAAATTCTTGTGGTTGTGGCTTTAGAGTGTACAGTGCCCAAGGGTTTGACCTTGCCTTAATGCCCAGATTTATCTGTGTTCCTACATGTTGGCACAAGGTCAGAGGGGCCCACTGGCTTCAGGGGAAGAAATGAAGCATAGGGTGAGGGTGCCTTGCTCAAACCTTGTCTATCCAAACATACTGAATGATACGAATGCTGGCTGGACAAGCCCTGGCAAACCCTCAGGGCACCAAAGATGCCTCAGCAATCTTGGCAGTCTTGAGTGGCATTCACAATGTGTTTGGCATCCACCACAAAAGGAGGTCTGCACTCTGCTGCTGAACCAGATGAAGTGTTTCTGGATGCATGGCATGTTGTAAACAAGAGGAAAATGTGTGAAAGGTGGTGTCCAAGCCCAAGTTTGCTCCTACTGAAATGCAGTTTGAACAGGAGCAAGCCGCAGAGCACTGGATGGAAGCAAATGGTTTGAGGTCTGCAAGTGATGATGAAAACTCCAGTGTACAAACTTG